ATGCGCCTGCCCTACCTTGAGAAGCCTAACCCATTGTTTGGGCCTTTTCAAACCTAAACTATTTCTTTTTGGGCCCGTTTTACTATTCCCTCCTCATGGGCTTGGGCCTGTTTATACTTCCCCAACACTTATATTTCGGTATTTCGGTATATACCGATACCAATCTCGTAATCCCTAATACCGAATAACAATTGAAATTGAATCCCAATCCCAAGAAATAATACGTGTATTCGGTAATATCAAATATAGACAAATTCGGTACGATATTCGTTATATCCCAAATACCGGTACTAAACTTCCAGCCCTAGTCATCGTCACCGTCGTGGCTGTCTCCGACCCCATCATCTTGCTATCCCTCTGCCTCCATAAATTGCTCCTCCCTTTCCCTCTTCACTTTCCCCGCGAACAAGGAAACGGTCATCCACAGGCTTTCGGGAATTCAAATCCAGTGTTATTCGATTTCATCCAAAACTCAACTTAGCTTCTTGGTCAGCCGTTGTCGCCGCCTAGAACCAGACCCTCCCCTCCGTCTCATGGCTATGTCCTCCGCTGCGTTCATCCGCCTCTCCGTACCTCGTCGAGGACATGAGATTCCCTCACAGTCGGCACCGTCTCCAACTCCAACCCCGTTCCGTCGTCGTTGCACCGTTTATAGCCTGATCTCGTCCGCCGCACCACCGTACTCTTCACCCGCTCTGATGTTGTTTGTAGTTTTGGCCCGGCTGTTCACCATCGTTATGAATAGAGAAAAGTGAAATGAAATTTTGGTGGAAGGAGTTGTGGTTGTTGGAATTAGAAAGGAGAATGAAAAGGGAGAAGTGTTTGATCGCAGTGGTGGTCCCTCCAGGGATTGGAATCAGAGGACATGAGAGAGGGTCTAGAGACTCAAGATGTTCAGGTAAGGTTGGGTTAGGTTTGTATTGGGTTGGATTAAGTATTGATCTGATGTGGTGGGTTGGGTTTGGTGATGTGGTAGGTTAAAATTGGGTGAGCCAGCATTTCTGTTAGCCACATCAGCAAATGACTGATGGTGTTAACGGAGTTGGATGGAGACTAACGAAGGGTGACCAAATGAGGACCGTTTTACTAATTCGAGTGACCAACATTGAAATTAAATATTTTTAATGACTAAACAAACCCTTTTCAGTAAACACAATGACCAACCTTGCAATTAGGGGTCGGCACGTGGATTGTTAATCCGCGGAATTAAATCGATCAACCCGCAAATAACCCGACCCGCACGTTGTGGGTGATTGATGCGGGTGGATTGCGGATTCATAAATCTCTCATCCGCACTTATGTGGGTGTGTGGTGGGTGGATTGCGGGTCACCCGAGTGACCCCCATCCTATTTTCACATGAAAAAATGTTTTTTTGACTACTATTTTCACCCGAGTCACCCTAGCTCCACAATAACCGGAGCGGCGATTTCCCTGCGTCTGAGTTACTGATTCGCCGATGAGTGGCGTCGCTCTGGGGAAATTTTCCCCAGACCATCACCTGCCTAACTCTGATGTTGTTTCCTATCGTCCTATGGAGGATGATGTTGATGAGGCTCGAGCTGTGCCTCGATCTCACGATCATGACTTTGCCCCTCACAGTCCTGCTAAAGGGACTGTGCCCTTAGCCTGATCGACAGGGACTCAAAAGCTATTTAGTGACCTCCTTACGGAGGATGTTGGGTATGTTGCGGAGTCCGGCTCCGAAGACGTCGTTGCTGCAATACGAGGGGATGATTTGGACGATGAGATCCCGGAGGATGATGACCCAAAGTGTCCCACCAACCCCTTTAAGGTCCCCTTTCACATCCTTGCTCAATGTCTTGAGACGATCTGGGCCAAGTGTGGCACTCTCCAAATCTCAAGTCTCTCTCTAGGGCTTCTACATCGTACTATTTACTAGCCAGATGGACTATGAACAGACGGTAGTTGGCGGCCCTGGATGATTGGAGGCCACTATCTAACGGTACGCCCATGGAAGTGAGGTTTCAATCTAAAGACAGCAGAGGTAGCCTCCACTATGGTATGGGCTCGCTTTCCAGGTTTGTCGATCGAGTTTGTCAATCGCAAGGCTGCGGAACGAATTGCATCGAGAATGGGGCGACCGATCAAGGTCGACCGAGCCACGCAGGACAGGACCATGGGTCGTTTCGCCTGGGTCTGTGTGGAGGTGGATATTACAAAACCCCTTCTCTCTCAATTCAAAATTGAAGGCATTTCCTATTATATTGAATATGAAGGTCTATTCAAAATCTATTCCGAATGTGGTTGTTATGGCCATGCATGTGTTACGTGTCCAACCATCTTTAAGGTCGCCCGCTGGTGGAGAAAGCTAGCCTTCTTCCAAGCCTTATGGAGAATGGATGGTGGCGAAATCCAAGTATAAGCAACGGAAGGCTTGCGATTCGCGGTCTTAGTAGAGGAGGTAGATAAAATGCAGGAGGACTCAACTGTTTTCGAGGAAGTTTTGGCGGATATGGGTCGAGACAGCCGAACGCTACTGTGATTCTTCTCCCCACGGAGCCAAGGCATCCGTCGCGAAGTGATTTGACACTTTTGGTTGAAACCGCCACCCCTGTACTGACTAGTGACGTGCATGGCATGAATGCTTCAGACGTCAACCTAGTCACGATCCCGGTCCAGCAGGGCCAACCGCTATCTAAGGCTAAAGTGGCAGTGGCGCTAGGGGTCCGAGCTCCCACTCCCATGAAGTCTCGACAAGCAGGTAGGGGGCCCCAACTCAACCCTAATGGCATGACTTCCAAACAAGGGAAGAAACCTGGAAAGCTGGGTAAGGCGAACTCGCTTCTGCCGATTAAACCTATTCCAGGGCACCCCGATGTACCTCACTATCGAACGCAAGCAACAAGAATGCTCATAAACCGGGTGTCGAGAAAGTTCACATCTTGGAGACCGTGGGTAAGGACACACAGTTGTCGAAGGGCACAAGAGGCCACCAGGCCGGCAATTCGTCCAACTAGGATCCTGGCTCCGAGCTGGCTGTTAGGGAGTTTCTTCCCTCCTTAGTTATACTTTCTTTCCCTTTTTTATATTTGACATTCTTGCTTGGAACTACTAGGGGGAGGTCATGAGAAATTCGTTACTTTTCTTAAGTCTTTTTTCGGGTCGTATAGGCCGGATATTGTAATTATTGTTGAGCCTCGTATTAGTGCTGACATGGCTCAGCAAGTTATTTCTAACACGGGGTTTGATGGGAAGTTGTTTGTGGATGCTATTGGCTTTGCAGGTGGGATCTGGGTTCTATGGAATGATCAGAAACTGGAAATCACTGAGCTAGGGAAATGGGATCAAATGATCCTCTTTTCCTATAGGAGACGTGGAAGTCAGGGGATCAGTGTGGTTGTCTTGTCTCAGCAACCTATGGCAACCCCAATTTTGCCAGGTGTAAGGTATTGTGGGACCGCATTATAGCTATCCTCTATCATTCAGGAGCCATGGATTCTCTCAGGGGATTTCAACTCGATCCTGGGACCTAATGACCGCATGGGAGGGGTCCCATACAAAGAGGCTCGAGTTTGACCCTTTCGAGATTGCTTGAACGACACTCGAGGTGGGTTTCACTTGACCGCGGCTTACTTGGAGGAGAGGTGGGCTGTCTCAACGCTTGGACTGGGCCATTTGCAAGCGTTAGTGGATGCTCAAGTACCCAGAATTAGTAAACCATCATCTGGAGAGGATTGGGTCCGATCACCGACCCATTCGCATATGTAGTCACCACAACGATCAGCGGCGTCGAGAGTCTCGACCATTTTGGTTCCTTGCGGCTTGGCTCAACCATGAGGATTTTGATAGAGTTCTTGCGGATGCCTGACAGATTCATGCTTTGCTTCCTAACTCCCTTGAGTCTCTCACGGAAGCTCTTAAGATGTGGAATAAGGAGACCTTTGCGAACATTATCCGCTGATAGAAGGAACTAGTGTGTCAACTCACTCGTCTGGAAGAGCGCAATGAACGCGCGGCCTCTGAGGCCACTCTTGAGAGAGAAGATGTTGTTCGTCAAAAGCTGGAATATATCATGTGGCAAGAGCAACTTTTGTGGTTCCAAAAATCGCATTCTATGTGGATTGCTCAAGGAGATTGTAACACACGCTACTTTCATCTATCAACCCTCAGGAGACGTCGATTTAATAAAATTGCTTCTCTTCGCAATGTAGAGGGCGAATGGATTGATGATGAGGAATTACTGAAGGCCATGGCACGAGAATGCTACCAGCAGCTATTCCAGGTGGAGGAGGGGGCTTCCCCTTGGCTGTCGAGTGCCTTCCGCCAGCTCGAGGATAGTGCGAAACATAAGCTGGTTCGAGACCTTTTGTTGGATGAGGTTTGGAGTGCGCTCAAAGGAATGTGGGGATTCAAAGCCCCAGGTAGTGATGGCTACCACCCTCTCTTCAGTAAAAAAATGTTGGGCAGGGTGAGAGACTCAATGTCTAAGTTTGCGACGAACTGCGCCAAGTCAATGAGACCTTACTCGTGCTCATTCCCAAGAAGGAGATTCTGGAATCCATCCAGCAATTCATACTGATTGAACTCTGCAATGTGAACTACAAAGCAGTGGCCAAATGCATCGTTAACAGAATCAAGCCTCTCATACGCAACCTGGTCCACCCAACCCAAACCAGCTTTGTCCCCGGGAGGCACATAACAGACAACATTATCATCGTCCAAGACTCCAAGAGGTTGTTCACTCCATGGGGCTGAAGACGGGAAGGCGAGGTCATCATGGCAGCAGGTTTCCCTGATCACTTCATCGAAGTCATCATGGCCTGCGTCACTTCCTCCAGCATGCACGTGATGTGGAATGGTAGCTATACCGACTCTTTCACTCCCTCGAGAGGTCTTCGCCAGGGTTGTCCGCTATCACCGTACATGTTTAGCCTCTATGGAGCGGCTGAGCCACACTATTGAGACTGTGGTTTCATGCGGAGCGCGGAAGCCGGTCAAAAAGTCTCTAGGTGGACCCTCCCTGTCCCACCTCTTTTTTGCTCACCATTTGATTTTGTTTGCAGAAGCGAGTGTTTTCTAGGGGCGCGTGGTCCTCGATTGTCTAGGTCGGTTCTGCCAGGCATCATGCATTTGTCATATTGAATCAGCCTTCCCATTCTCGTCAATAAATTCGAATTCGAATTCCTTCCTAGTTCCATAAATAATTGGTAATTGCCGAATTTACCTATGGGGCCTAATTCCATCGATCAATGGCAATGATATTGTGCTATCATTCACATTAGTTGCTAAAATTAGGCTAACTTAATGCTCCTTTCCAATTAATGCATTACGCATGAACCAGTCCGAACACCCAGGTGGGGAAGCTGATGGCAGCATTCTGTGACCGGCAACGGATGAACGTCACAAGTGTTTGTTTCTTGCTGATTGAAGAAAAATGAAGACGACAAAGTAGAGATTTTGCAGTGTGAGATACATATACCAAGTGACAAAGTGCAAACTTCCTTCTAATAAAGCTCAAATAGAAACGTACCTTACAATGTACAGCACATATATTTATTCCTTTAATTCCTTCTCACTGCCTTCTGTCGTCCCCAAAATGAAAACCAAAAACAAAATAAGCTAGAAATTCAACACCACCACCTCCCTTTCACCATGTAGACGAAAATTTCAAACTTAAAAACTATTTTTTTTGTCTTTATTAGATTGGCACAGTCCTATTGGCGGAAGCCTCGTTCCCACTAGTGCTGTCCTCCTCGTTCTCGCCGGAAAGCTCCTCCAGCGACTTCCCCTTCGACTCCGGCACCAGCAGCGTAAACAACATCCCGAGGAAATTAATACAACCCAACACAATCAGCGAGTTCTTCACTCCGATCCCCGGCGGGTAACCCGCATCCGTCTTCGCCGGATCCGTCGACTGCGCCGCGTACAGGAACCCGAACGCCCCCACCATCGCCCCCGCCTTCCCCGCCGCCGCCGAGATCCCGTGACAGGTCGACCTCAGCCGCGCCGGGAAAATCTCCGCCGGGACCACAAACGTCGTCGCATTGGGCCCGAAATTCGCGAAGAAGAAAGTGAGCGAGTACATCACCAGGAACCCGATCCGATTCGCCTTCAATGTCCAGTGGTGGTACGGAATCGCGAGGGCGAACATGAACACGGTCATGAAGAAGAATCCCATCAATTGGATGGCGAATCGGCCGATGTGGTCGATTAAAGCCACCGTGAACCAGTACCCGGGGACGGTGCCGCAAAGGGCGATTAGGGTTTGGGCTCGGGACACGACGTAGACCTCGTGGACCGCGTTCATCGTCTTAGCCGGCGGGATCCACCCGATTGCGCTGAAGATGTCCTTCTGGAAGAGATTCGAGCTGTAGTAGGCGATGTCGAGGAGGAACCAGCAGACGGCGGTGCCGACAAGGTGGAGGCCGTGGCGGCGGGCGAATTGCTTGGTGAAAAGCCCGAATTGGGTTTCCGAGATCTCTTCGATTTTCTCCTCCTCCGCTTCAATTTCGACCTGCAGGACTTTCGCCATGTCGCTGGCGGCCTGTTTGGCGTTCTTCGCGACGAGCGCCGTGTACCGGGCGGTTTCCGGCATCTTCATCCGGGAGTAGTAGGTCATGGCGGCGGGGATGGCGCCGAACATGAGGATTATCCGCCAGACGTAGTCGGCCTGGGGGACGGTGGAGGCGGCGGCGTTCTGCTCGTACGTCGGCGCCGGGAACGCGTGGTCGAACGCGGTGGAGACGATTAGGGAGACAATCCCGCCGGCGAGGATGCCGAACCCCTGCATCGCGAACACGGCGGCGATGAAGGCGCCGCGGGTCTTCTTGTTGGCGTACTCGGACATAATCGTCGCCGAGAGAGGGTAATCGCCGCCGATTCCGAACCCGAGCCAGAACCGGAAGAAACAGAGCGTCGTCATGACTCCATTGGCATCGTGCCCAAACGAAAGCCCAGAAGCCAGAGAACAGAGCACCATTAGCATCAGAGTCATACCGTACACTTTCTTCCTCCCCATTTTGTCACCGAGCCAGCCGAAGAAGAGCTGGCCGGCGAGCGTCCCGCAGAAGGCGACGCCGTTGACGGCGGCGGCGACGTTGGGAGGCAGAGTCCCCGGTTTAACTGCCCCCTCGTGGTGGTAGTAGATCCGACCCAAAAGCTTGGTGACGAGGGAGATCGAAAACAGATCGTATGCGTCGGTGAAGAAGCCCATCCCGGCGATCACGATTGCGGTGAAATGGTACCATTGGGTTTTGGCGACGTCGAGTGCGTTCAGCACTACCAATTGCTCTCTCGCCATGGTTTTAATTTCTCACTGTTCAGAGGATCGGAACTTTGGTGGGGAATGAATGTGAGGTGGGGAAAATGGAGGCAGAGTAAGTACTGGTTGGTTTATATTGAAGGGGTGGGAGTTGAATATTCTAAGATACCATTTCCGAACAGGAAGCGAAAAGGTTGAAGAGAAAGAGATGGAGCGGCAATGGAGGAATAATGGCAGTAGATAGATAGAGGAAGAGAGGTTGGTTTATATTGAAGGGGAAAGCTGAGTTGTAGCAACTGAGAGGGTGACACGGTCTGCTTCGCCATTGGTTGATGCTCGGAATCCAAATTATGGGGCCGGGAATATGCCGAATCTTACCTCAAAAGTCAACAATTCAACGTTGCTGGCTTAACTATATTTCGTTTTCCGATTTCGTTTTTTCCTTAATTTTCGTTTTTCATATTTATTGTCATCGGTTGATCGTGACAAGCAAGTCAACGTTGGGATGGAGAGGAAAACTAACAATGGGTAGCCTTGACATTGTATCTGGGCACTAGGGGGCGAGCCATCCATGGGGTAGCACGACTCGACATAGTTAGAGTACTACGGTATGAATACAAAATATATAAAACTGTCTGGAAGGAGTATGCATAATTTATGGGTCATGTCAAACCAAAATTTCATATGCACGGGGTATGAGCATGGGTATGATATGATCTATAAGTTGTTTATTGTTGTTAGAAGTAATCGTAAAGATAATATATGTAATTATTGCCATAAATAAAAATGATCGAATAATTTTTAAAACGTATGGAGGCTAAATCACACTCGATATACTTCCAATTTTCTCATTTTCCTTATTTGTTACTTTTCTCAAACATTCTCAATTATTCAATTTTCTTCTAATTTTTAATTTCCCTCTTTTATTTTCTTCATTTTCATTAATCACGAACATGGGCACGACACAATTCGAATAGTGCCAAGACCTTGGCCGAGCCTAACAAATTTGAAAAATAGGTTGGCACGACGGAAATTGACGGGTGTGCCAAGCATGACACGAGATAACACATGCTCGAAGCATGCTCGTGCCAGGGGCGGACCCACGGGTGTTTGGGGTGTCCCGAGACACCTCTAAATTTTGGGGAAACGATTATCCAACCCCCGGTGGTAATTTACGTATTGACAAAAAAATTATAATTGATAGTCGGGGACACCTCTAAATTAAAAAATTATAATTGATGAGTTTATGTGTACGAATTGTTTGAATGTTGATTATTGTATTATCGATTATTTGTTCTAGATGGCAATTTTGACTTGATAAGTTTTATTCATTTTTGTATTATTGATTATTGTATTCTCGATTGTTTGATGACCTGAAAAAGAAGAAAACAATAGAGTTTAGAAACAATTTTACTCAAATTGCTGCAAGCAATGAAGATACCTTTCGAAAATTGCACGTATTTAGAAATAGATATGCTACCAATAAATATGTTTATTAGTGTTTTAAACAAAACAAAAAATATGCGTTTGAAATAACAATTTGAGTTCAATCACTTGGGATTGAAAATTCACTATAGGATAATGAGTGTTACAAATGTTTCATTTTCCTCCCACGTATGACCAAGCAAGATAACCATTTATAAAAACAACAACACATGAAATGCGATAGCGATAAATAATATTAAAGTTAACGGATACGCGTAACCATACACATAACATAAGAAACGAATATCATTATCAGACGGTCTAATTAATTTAATGGATGCTGCAACTTCTGCCATTCAAAACTTCATTTCCTACAATTAAGTCCTTTATAGTTTAGAGCTAGCTTTCTCGTGTTGCGTTTTCTTCGAGGTTGTCAAACCGGTTTATACCGTTGTACCGGTTTGGCAAGTGGAATGGTACGACCGGTGGTATAACCAGTTTGTGTCGGTTCATGCCGGTTTAAAAAAAATATGAAAACAATTAATATCCAATGGATTTAATCATATATAAAAACATATTTGTGGACAATTTAGTTACAATCCAACAAATATCATCAACTTTTAACTATAACATTCACGAAATGAATAACAAATTATTTTTTTATTCATTAAATTCATTAAAATGATGTCATTAAACTTAGAATGTGTAAGTCGATCATACTGGTCATACCGGTGGTGTCATACCGGGTGGCATGCCACCATGCTTTCCCACTGCCTTTAATTTTTCCAGATTTACCAGACGTGCAATTTGCAGTTTGTTGCTTCCAAAGTCGACACTCTCCTTTACGACCTAGGATATAGAAACAAAAGTCTACGGTGTTTTTTGGTGGATTCCTTTCCTCCATAGTCGTCTTCTTGTTTGCTCTTTCAATAATTGTACGCAGCACACCATCGTGTGTGGTTTTTCTTCCCTCCTACATCACGGCCTCCTTTTCTTGTTTACACCATTTTACGCCTACCATTCCTTCTCCACTTCATGGTCATCAAACTTTGTCCACGGACCAAACAATTTGACTTAATTGGCTGCTAATGCTATAGAGGCTGAACAAGATCTTAATCACTCTCACAGTTCACTCATTCGAGCGAGAGAATCGGACGGTTTATGATGATTAAAAATAGTGAACGTGTATCACGACCATCGATGTTTTCGCGAATTCCATGTGCACCATATCACTAATACGGACGATTAACTTGCAATACTCCAATTGTTACGTAGATATGCTTTCAGGACTGAACTTTTACATACCAAATTTCTTTTATCTCCAGGATTTGTGATAGCTTGCTTGAAACTCTCAAGAAGATAACATCCTTAATAGCCTGAACAACCCCAAAATAGTTAAGAAACTACTAATCAAATAACAACACAGACAAAAGACTTAGAGTTACACAGCCAAACCTCACTTCCTTCTCACCCCTAGACTTTTGCCTCAATCTTTCTCCTTCTTGAATTCATTTTCTTCTCTTCAGTGGCACCTAACTATAAAAATCAACCTATGTCATCCATATCTGTAAAAAAAATTAAATTATTCAAAATAATAACTAACAAAAATAATTAAACAAACTTATACAAGCTTAATCTTTTTAATATAATTTTTCCACCTCAACTTGACCTCACAACACCAACCCTGAACAAAACTTGAGATCGATGTCGATAACTACAGAAATCATTAACATACGACTTCTTTATTATTCCTTATCATTGATCGGTTGTCTTTTGTTCCCTTTAGTCTAATGTTTATTTTATGAATTAGTGTAATGTATTTTAACTAAGTGTTACTGTCATTGTTGCTATTAGTATTTATGAGTTGCGATGGTGAAATTGACATGAAAGCAATAACTTTTGTATTATATTAAAGGGATAAAAATATCAGGGATAAGATAATAGTGGTATGAAAAAACGATCATCTTCTACCCAAAAAAAAAAACTGATCTTATTCTGGCTGTTGTCGACACTCTCGATCGACAGTCTGTGCTGTGAAGTGTGAAATTTAACTTTTAGCGACAAGAATGTAAAAAGATAAATCATGTCACTTTGTTAGGGACTATTATGGTAATATATTTTAGTTTGGGGGACTGGATTCAAATTTCAACACGAACAAGTGTTCCAAGTTGCGAGGTGCTGGCTTTCACAAGTTGAATTGTTTTTGGTGGACAAATTGAGTGATGGTCCATAATTGTTTTTTGGATCAACTTCGAGTTGGACCCGTCATGTGTTCATGTCGTCGAATTTTTTTGTTAAGGTTTGTATATATATTTGTACGCTTAAAATGGTGAAGGGATGAACGAAAACTTATATATTGTCATTGTTGTTTATTAATTTACGCATCACTTACTAGGAAAAGAGGAAATGAATATTCAAAGGGGCCACTTTGAAAGCAACCAACAGATTTGATAGAATGATAGCAGAAGATTGGTCGTGTTGCATTGCATGAAGCCGATCGAAAAAGCCCATGAACCAAGCAACGTCCCTCTCTCATTATGGAAAATATAACACACCAAGACAAAAGTCTTCTCTCTCTTTTGCCTTCTTCTTTCCTTTCAAGTCGTAAAGCTTTCGCGAATCAAGTTGGTGATAAAAATTTGGAGTAGTGTTTTTTTCTTGGCCGACTAGTAGGAGACTTCTATGAGTGAAACGACTAGTTCAGTAGAATTTGGGTAGGAAAACGAGAATTTTGGTTTTTAAAAAGTAGAGTAGACGTTGGACCTTCCACACTTGGCCGCTTCTGATGTGTGAGTGAGTGTGACCTATAATCCTATATATACACAAAGACGCGGGGAAGGTTTTAAAGAAACGTACATCTGAGAGGGAGAGATGGTAGGGCGGTCCCGATCCCCAGGAAAGGAAAAACACCAAAGGAAGGAAAGAATTTCAGGTTCGACCAAGTCAAGTCAACCTTTCCCGCGTTATACGGCCAAGTGGTCAACTTTTCTTTGTCGATTTTCTTTATGCAATTTCCTTTTCTGTGTGAGGTTCTAATTTTGGTTAACCAAACCAAATGGGATGGTATTAGGGCTGAAAATTGGCCCGACCCGCTCACAACCCTGTCTGACCCGCCACTGAAGGGTCAAGATGTATAACTGACCCGCCCAGACCCTGTTTCTTTCATGACCCTGTCTGACCCTTTAGAGTCGGGGCGGGTCAGGAAGGGTCGGGTCAGTGGGTCGACCCTAATAAATAGACTACTTTTCTAAAAATTACAATTTGGTATCCGAATTTATTTTTTCTTACATTTTACTACCTAAATTTTATTTTTTTTACAAATAAGTCCCTAAATTTTGATGGTAAAATTAAGTTTTGGTACCCAAATTTTTAATTTTTACAATTTAGTACCTAAACTTATAAAATTTTACAAATAGGTCCAACATGTTTGTATGATGCTAAGGGTCATAGGGTCAAAAAGTGACCCGACCCTAAATTGACCCTATAGACAAACTGACCCAGCCCGACCCTGAGGGTCGGGGGGAGTCGGGGCGGGTCAGTGGGTTTTAAGGGTCAAACTTACACCCCTAGATGGTATTGGGAAATATCTAGCAACGAACAAAATGCACCATCAGTCATCCTTGATCCTATCCTACTCAGTATCCTGGATAAACCAAACCATGGTGTTGGTAAATTATTGCATTAGACCATCAAATACGAGCCGAGTTCAAATTCGACTCATTTATTAATAAGTTAAGCTCAAATTAGCTAGGTTAAACTCAACTCGACTCATGTGCAATCCTAGTTGGGCAAACTTTCATCAAACTTGGGGCTGAAATTCACTGTCGGTGCAATTCTAACCATAAACCATATTGTACTGCTTAGTGGTAACCACTTACTATTGTGGTTCGGTGCAATTTGATTGTGGTTAATCGTAAAATTCAAATTACCAAAATTACATATTCATCAATGTTTTATTATAGTTTGAAATTTTTATTCATCGAGAAAAGAAAAAAAAAGTAGATAGTTACAAAGGAGAACATAAATAGTAAAAAAAGGTAAATACAATATATTAGCCACAACTATTATGAAGCGGGGAATTATAGCCACAACTATGAAAATTCAAATTATTAGCCATAACTATTGTTGCGGGTCAAGATATGGCTAACTGTCTGTTACTGTTATTGAATTTTTAACGGAGAAGGCCACGTCATCGACCAGGACAGTAGCCACGTCAGACTGCTTTTAATTTATAACTTTAAAATATAAAAATTTAGTTAGTATTACCATCGAAATTGTTAACAGATAGTTAACGTTTGGCTAATAATTTAAATTTTCATAGTTGTGTTTATAATTCCCCGCTTCATAATAGTTGTGACTAATATATTGTATTTACCCAAAAAAAATGTGATACTAAAACTTGACATTCCTTACTTTGGAGTTTGGATGCGACTAAGCATCAAATGCTTCGGTTGAGAAATTTTAGCCAAACCATTTTGAAGTTCTTAAAGATGTAGCAACGAAGAATCTAGTAATTGTCAAAAAAAAAAAAAAAAAAAACGAAGAATCTAGTATCTATAAAGATAAGTCCAACATATGATAAACAAACTAATTTATGGTCAATGAGTCCCCTATAAAACTAGTAATTTGAGTTATTAATATAGAACCCCAAATCATGAATCTAATATATTATAGTTTGCCAATCCACAGCTGGAAGATAGCCATGCATTATTAGCAGTTGGGATTTTTTTTTTAATTCATTGTTTTCATAATTCCGAGAGACAAGGGTTGACTTGTTACTAACCTGAGCAGGTTTGTTAATCGATAGCATTATGCTGTACGCCTCCGATCAGGCTAACGTGCGTGAGCCATATGTTTTATCAGTGTTATTAAAGCCGAGCCGAGCCGCTCGGCCCGACCGGTAAAACCGCCACCCGGTCACAAAACCGGCTCGGAACAGTTTAAAAGTCGTTCCGGTTTTATGTAGCGGTTGGCGAGCGGTCGAGGCGGTTAACCGTTCGAGCCGATCGAGCCGCTCGTCCGGTTTTTGCCATTCAGTCACTAAATTTAATTAAAAAAATTGTAGATAATTGAAAATTGAAATAAACCAAAAATGTCGGGCTCTCAAATTGAATTCTTATTTCCATTTCACAATTTCGAAGGAAAGAGATGATCTCTGATTAAGAAATGTCCACTATTTATACTGATAACGTTTATTAGATACCGGTTCTCTAACGGTTTTTAAGCGGTCTAATGCCGGTTGGACCGCTAAAGTGCGAGCCGTTCGCATTACCGGGTCATGCTCCAGTTCGGTTTTGACAACATTGTGTTTTATGCTTTTTTTTTTTTTTACTTTCAACCTGAAATCGGATTTTATTAATTAGACATCGCGGTTACACTATCCAGCTGAAGCTGATTTACAAGAAAACTCGGTGGCATATCCAGCCAAACGACTCGCTCATTCCTCCGTATATCTACATGAGCCATCATATGGGTAGCTTTATTTGCTTCTTGTATTTTGGCAGCAACCATTACCAGTAGCCTCCAGGGAACGACAGATGCTTCTGCACAACACTCATGTCTCGTCCATAGCGGTTGTTGGGTTCTGAACCTTATGCACTAACGTCAAGCAAGCTGTTTCAAGTTTAGCATTGGGTAGCCTGAATTGGACCGCCAGTTGTGCGCCGAGCTCCGCCGCCATTGCCTCTGCAGCCTCCGGCTCCCACCTCCCTGGAATTCTTTTAGCAGCGGCCAATATAAATCGTCCTTCAGAATCCCTTATCACCACCCCTAATCATGCTTCATCATCGGCCAGAATTCCCGCGTCAGTGCAGACCAAAGTGGCTCCCTCTGTCGGTTTCTTCCATCCCTGGCGAATAGGCTCTGTACGCAGCTCCTTCTTGCACTGCTGGTTCTGTTTATACTCTTCCATAAGAAGCTTAGCACGTGTTGGTATCTCCTCTTCGGGTAACTTGGCTCCATTAAATAAATGAGTGTTACGTTCCTTCCAGAGATACCATAGTAAAACGCACCAACCTTCCACTTCCGTCTCCGATCTTTGTTCCAGCATTGTCGCTAGCCACTCATAAAAAGACCCATTCCCCTTCAGCGCAAAGACACCTGCGACTTCCGTCTTTCTCCAGATTCGGGAGGTCCATTCACATTCCAAAAATATATGTCTTTGTGTTTCCCGCTGATCACAAAAGGGGCAATTTTCCCCACGTAGTGGGTTCCTTTGATTAACCAGTACCCCTGTCGGGAGGATCTCATGCGCCAGCCTCCACATGAACTGTTTAACCTTAGGTGGCACTTCTAGTTTCCACAGTTTCTTCCATGTTGCTGCCACCCCATGCGCTTCCACCCCTTCTTGTACTAAAAAGTCCGCCAGCCACAGCTTGTACCCTTCCTTTACCGTGTATATTCCCATCTTACTCGAATTCCAAATTAACAAGTCCCTCTCCCCCATTCCCCTTAAAGGAATCTGTTTAATTGCTTGAACCACCTCATGCGGGAAGCAACTCTCAAGCAAGTTCTCATCCCAAGATTCAGTCTCTTGGTCCACCAACTCGCAAACATAGGCATCCACAGGGAGCCCCATGGGCGCTGATGTGATATACTGATTCTCCAGTACTGACACCCACCTATCACCCCATATCTTCACATTAGCTTCGTTGCCGATCCTCCATCTCAATCCTCTGTTCAGGAGGTCTTGTGCGCTCAATAGACTTCGCCAAACAAAACTGGGTCAATATCCCACCGTGGCATCTAATATTGATGTCCTCCTGTGATATTTGGCCTTGAATATGCGAGCAATGAGGGACTAGGGTCGCTGAAGGAGATTCCAGAGTTGCTTAGCTAAAAGGGCCTCGTTAAAACCCCTAAGATCCCGGAATCCCATCCCTCCCAGTTCTTTCGGGTTCACCATCTCTTCTCGCCTTAAACCATGCGCCCGTCTCTCCGATGCTCGTTGTCCCCACCAAAAGTTCATTATCATCCTGTGAACTTCATCGATCGTCCCTTCCGGCACCCTGAACACAGACATAGCGTAGGTGAGTTGTGCCTGAGCCACCGACTTAATCAAAACCTCTCTTGCTGCAACAGAGAGTGTTTTTTTTCCTTCCAGCCATTAAGTTTCTTTCTCATTCGGTCCTTGATCACTTCAAAGAGTTGTTTCTTCGATCTCCCGGCCTCAGTAGCCAATCCCAAGTACTTATTGTGCTTCTCAACTAACTGCATTCCTAGAACCCCACCAATTTCAAGTCTTCTATGAGTCAGGACATTAGAGCTGAAAGACACCTCTGACTTCTCAAAGCTCACCATTTGGCCCGATTCTTTCTCATAGTCACTAAGAATCTTCTTCAACTCCTGGCTTTCTTCCACTGTGGACCTGGTGAAAAAAATACAGTCGTCAGCAAAAAAAGGTGGGTTACCACCAGTGCACCTTTAGCCAGTTGAACTCCATGAATTCAGTTCTCCCTAGCTGCTTTAGCCGTGTAGGTTGAGAGACCTTCTGCGCATAATAAGAACAAATACGGGGACAGAGGGTCCCCTTGGCGGAGACCTCGACTTGGCTGGAACCTTGGAGACTGATGTCCGTTCACAAGCACAGAGAAAGTCACCGATCTTACACACAACATTATCACCTTCACCCATATTTCATCAAACCCCATACGTCTCATCACCCCCTCTAGAAAACGCCACTCCACTCGGTCATATGCCTTTGCCATGTCCATTTTTGCTGCTAGAAATCCCGTTCCCTTCTTCCCTTTTTTTTTCATTGTATGGAAGCACTTGAAGGCCGACATAACATTATCAGTGATAAATCTCCCCGGTACAAACGCACTTTGCTCCTGGGATATCACCTTGTTCAGCACCAATTTCAACCTGTTAGCTAATACCTTCGCTGCCAGTTTGTAAAGAACGTTGCATAGGCTGATTGGTCGGAACTCTTTCGGACTCTGGGGGAGCTTCACCTTCGGGATCAATGCAAAGTATGGTTCAATTCGCGTGGCATCACTCCATCCTCGATGATCCCTTTGACAGCTAAATAGACATCATCTCCAACTATCGACTAGTAAGATCTATAGAACGCCACCGAAAGGCCATCAGGTCCCGGAGCCTTCCTCCTCCCCATATGTTTAAGGGCCTGGAAAACTTCTTCCCTTTCCACCTCTCGCATGAGCATGTCATTATCATCTTGATTAACTGAGCATGGTATGGACTCAAGTACTGGTTCCGTTGTAGGTACACTACCTGCCAAAAACAAACTTCCAAAGTAAGTAGTAAAGCATTCAAAGAGTTGCTCAATTCCTACATACCACCTCCCCGTCGAGTCACTTAGTTTCCGAATTGTGTTACGTTTTCTCCTGGCCGATGCCTTTTTGTGGAAAAAGGGGTGTTCTTGTCGCCATCTTTTAACCAATTAGCCCGCGACCGTTGTTTCCAGTAGCTTTCCTCATTATCCTCAGTTTCCGCCAGCTCTTCCTCTAATTTCCATCGTTGTTCCTGGATAGTGGGAGAGTGTGTCATCCTTTCAAGTTTTCGTAAAGCACGTTAAATTTTTTCTTTCTGCCTAGCAAAGTTGGGGAATGTTGAAGAGCTCCAATTTTGCACGACATTGGCTAATTTTGTCCATTGCACTCAACGCACCCCCACCTCCCCATGCCTCCTTCACTACCCGCTTGCTGTCCTCATGTTTGGACCAGAACGGGTCGTAACGAAAGCTCCAGCCCCATCTCGGTTCATCATCATCATCATCACCCTCCGTGTCGCAAATGATTGGTCGATGATCTGACCGAGTTTTGTCCATGTGCCTTACCTTACACTTATTAAACCTTATAGCCCATTCTTCGGTCGCCACGAACCTATCGAGCCTCTCCTCCACATAACCTCCATTGCGCCTTCGGTTCTCCCACGTGTATTGATAGCCGTGGAACCCCAGATCTCTAAGATCGCCCTCGACCAGGCACTCTTGAAAAGCCTCTATGTCATTCTCTTCCCTGACCTGTCCACATCTCTTTTCTTCTCCCGATAATATCTCATTAAAGTCTCCTCCACATAGCCATGGGCCCTCCCATTGCCTCGCAAGTCCGCGTATTAAGTCCCACGTATTATGCTTCTGTCCTGACCCCGGCCAACCATAAATGCCAGTGAATCTCCATATCTCCCCTCCTTCTCCTACTATTTTCAAATCCATACAGTGGCTAGAAGCGTGCATGACTGTTAATTCGACTTCCTCTTTCCACCATACACACAGTCCCTCTGCTCGACCTCCACGTGATGTGTCCGTCGGCCAACTGTCTCCACCAGCAAACCCGAGCTCTTTCTGGGTCTCCTCGTTCTCAGCTTTTGCTTGTTTGGTTTCCATCAAGAAAACCACTTGCGGGGAAGCTCGTCGCAGAAGCGACTTCAAAGCTCTAACTGCACGCTTGCTTCCCAAACCGCAGCAGTTATAGCTTAAAAGTCTCATCTATTACCTGAAGGGGATGGGCTCCCCGCGCCTTTCCATTTTGTAGTCGTTGTTTCATTTCCGCATTGTTTTTGTTTTCCAGCTTTGCCATCCTTCCCAGCCTGACCCATCTGTTTATCAAGCGCTGATTTACCCGGTTGGGCTTTTTCCTTGCTACTCCCCTCTCTCATCCCCTCCATGCTCGTTCGAGCATTCTGTTTCTTCCATTGTGCGTCCATTTCATAACTCTTTCCACCCTCCTAGACAGTAGGATTTTTTGTTACATTCCCTTCTTCCACTTTCCCGGAGTCGACCGCTTTCTATAATGGCTCCTCCCTTATTTCTTCATTATGAACATTTCCTGTAGGTTTCTCATTAGGGGCTTCGTCATTCAACACTGAGAATCGATTCTGCTCCCCTCTCTGTTCCTGGATATATTTTCCTTTGTCACTCTTTGGGCCATATTGTTGTCCTCTTCTATTCGGTCGCCGCTCTTTTCTTTTTACCATCATCCAGTCGTCATATATAGGTCCTTTTGGCTTCATCTCTTCCACAGTTTCTGGGACTATTTCAACCATTTCCTCTACCTTTTCTTCGACCGGTTCTCGACACGGGCAGTTCGCTGTTGACTTTCCGTACTGACCACATTCAGTACAAATGTGATCAAGTCCTTCATATTGTATCAGGTACTCTGTCCCCTCCACTTTGTACCTTGCCAGCAACGGTCTTGTTAGGTCAACCTCCACGCAAACTCTAGCGAAGTTTCCTCGTGCCCCCAGCTCAGTTGCTCTATCAACCTTCACCGGCGTCCCAATTAGTCCTCCGATCCTCATTGCTGCTTCCTTATGAATGAATCCGATGGGCAAGTCCGGAAGCTGCACCCAAACCAGGGTTGACCTCACCATCGATTTCCATGGGTTAAACCCCTTATACCACCTCATTACAGTCAGATAGGTTTCTCCAAGTAGCCATGGTCCACCATTAATAGCAATTTCATAATCCTCCCTTCGACGAAATCGGACAAGGAACCAGGCGTTCTTCAAATCCGATATCTGCAGCTCGCCGTGCCTTGCCCATAGATAATTCAATCTGCGGGATAATGGTACATATGATACTCTGTGTCCCAATCCTTTAACTACTAAGGCCGACCTCCACTCTCTCCTCCATCTTGCTTTTTCAGCTGCCGTGAACAAAGCAGACGGGCATAGCCGATCAAAGTCCTTCCCATCCTCAACATCATCCTCTTCCCTCTCCGCCTGTGCCACATCTTCGGAATCAGATTCTGCAACATACCAGCTGTCTTGTTGTAGGATCTCACTAAACCGCTTTCGACTGCCATCCGACCATGCCCCGCAACCTACTTGGGTTCCTTCGTGCTGCGTCGGCGTTGTTGCTGTTGTTTCAGTGGCCATCTCCTCCGTCGTTATGTCCTCTATCTCCACATCATTGTCAAGGTTTAGAGCACGAGCTTTCTTCTTTGGCTGGATGGTCTCCTTTTCCCTCTTACTGTTCGGAGAGGAGGACACCACTCGAGAGATCAGGTGGTTTCATATTCGGACCCGGCGCCCCCGTCGGCGTTGCCGCCGCCGCCATCGAAACCCTAGCTCACGTACGTTAGTTTTTTCCCCTGGGATTCTCCGCAAAGTTCAGAGTGTCTCTTGAGCGAGAGTGTCCCATATGTTTTATGCTTGCGTTTACAATATCGTACGTTCGAGTTTTGCTAATTAGAGCACGAATTAATAAGAGTTTGGGACAAGATAATATACCCTAATCTTTAATTGGTGAATCCCAGTCCATAATTCTCTAACCCAAACCACAAGATTCATTTAATCTAAATAAATAATAATCGACGATTCTGATTCAACAAAACAAATTGAAGTGCAAATAATAAGTATGAACACAGGCATCCAACTCGTAGGGCCAGCCTTTGCCATATATATATATATATATGGTGAATTCTATGATACATATTGTCCACTCAACTCTAAAAGTACTTTTAAGCTATCAAATTTTGCATTTTAATTGATAGCATTAGTCTAATATGATGATATATTATATAGGCTTACAACTAACACATGCATTAATCTGAGGCCCTCAGCCTTTAATTCTAGGGTTAATATATTTCTATGACCCAAACTTTTCACATAATAAACATCTTGTCCAATCTTTTTTATTTATAACTTCGTGGCCTCAACTATGCATCAAAGTTATGAAATTGGCCAAACCTGAGATTTGACTGTTATCTTGGATGGTCAAACGCGTTGACTTACGGTCAACACGCCACGTCACTGCCAAATAAGCACAGACCACTTAAAAAATTTGGCTTTTTCCACCTATTACCATTTATCTTTTTTTTTTAATTTGAACAAAAGAAAAAAAGGAAAAGAAAGTCAAAATATTTTCTTTTGAAAGTGGAAAAAACCAAAAAAAAATTAATTGGTATGTGCAAACTTGGCAGTGATGTGGCGCGTTGACCATTAGTTAACACGTTTGACCGTCCAAGATAATGGTCAAATATTGGTTTTGCCAATTCCGTAACTTTGATGCATAGTTGAGGCCACGAAATTATAGATAAAAAAATTTGGCCGGAATGTTTAATATTTGAATAGTTTGAGCCATATAAATATATTAACCCTTAACTCTAAACCCTAATCCTAAATTTCTAAGCGCTAAACCTAAATTCCTTAACCCTAAAGCCTTCGAATCAAAATAACGATTAATATCATTTTAACATGAATCTCCTACTCGAAATAACGCTTATGAGACGACGGCATAACATGCATCCAAAACTTGAATATTTTCCACTGAAATCCTTCAACAAATATCCCCCCCCCCCCCCATTACAATTAGTTTGGGGATACTTAATACTGGGTAGTGATTAAGCGCTTAATCAACCAAAATTGACCTTGATTAACCCCCACCAAACATGCATTAACCCAAACTTAAAAAAAAAAAAAACTACGGTGGTCCTCATTTCTCAACCACCAGGCCAGTGCCTTCGCCGGCCGCTGCCCACTGAGACTTCTCCACTAGCCACTACTAGCACCGAGGTTCCTAATATGGCTTTCAAAGTGACATTGTCATTTTCATTAGCCTGCATTCAATCAAAGTTCCTTAATTAATCACTAGTAGAGGTGGCAATTTCAATCCAATCCACCAATCCAATCTATCAATCCATTAAAAATATCCACCTAATCCAATCCATTTAAATCCAATCCATTTAATCCAAATCCAATTGGATTGGTGGATTCATGGATTGGATCCATGGATCATTAGCAAATTACGGTTTAGTACCTATAATTTTTATTTTTTACATTTTGGTACCTAAAATTTAATTTTTTATACTAAAAATATCATTGGAAAATTACGTTTTGGTACCTAAAATTTTTCATTATGACATTTTAGTACCTATACTTTTTACATTTTACATATTGGTCCTTAGTTGAGGATGTCATTTGGATTCATGGATAATCCACCAATCCACTTGATCCAATCCATGAATCCACCAATCCATTTGATCCATAGATCCACCAATCCAATCCATTTGATCCATAGATCCACCAATCCAATCCATCAATCCACCAATCTAATCCATTTGCCACCCCTAGAAGGTAGTTTGTGTTTTGGGGATTTGCGAGGCTGTGTATTTTAATAAGAAGCAGCTGAATTAGAAACGATTGTTTGGGCGTAATTTAAGGGGTTTCTTTTCCATCATCCCAAAGGCCAAATCACCCTAACAGTGACCTTTACATATATTCAATATATTTTAATGGAAGCACCCCCATGATTTTCCTCTTCAAACTCATTGATTGTTCACACTTCAATTCTCTTTAATTTCTTCGAGTATTATATAATCAGGTGTTGTTTGTTACTTCGTTTGACGTTGATTTTAAGGTACCATTGGTATGAATGCAAGCTAGTGATTAGGGGTGGCAAATGGATTGGATTGGTGGATTGATGGATTGGATTGGTGGATCTATGGATCAAATGGATTGGATCTAATGGATTGGTGGATTCATGGATTGGATCAAGTGGATTGGTGGATTATCCATGAATCCAAATGACATCCTCAACTAAGGACCAATATGTAAAATGTAAAAAGTATAGGTACTAAAATGTCATAATGAAAAATTTTAGGTACCAAAACGTAATTTTCCAATGATATTTTTAGTATAAAAAATTAAATTTTAGGTACCAAAATGTAAAAAATAAAAATTATAGGTACTAAACCGTAATTTGCCAATGATCCATGGATCCAATCCATGAATCCACCAATCCAATTGGATTTGTATTAAATGGATTGGATTTAAATGGATTGGATTAGGTGGATATTTTTAATAGATTGATGGATTGGATTGGTGGATTGGATTGAAATTGCCACCTCTACTACCTTCCTAATTATATGCTCACAGCAAACCATGTGGTGGTTTCTTATTGCTAACTATCAGTTTGACGAATCTCATACAGCTCGAGAAAATGTGTTTTCTTTTTATCTTCTAAAACATCTTTTTAAAAGTTGTACTTATAGGTATAATATGCACTTATATTATGACATTTTATCAAACATGTCACTTTACTATTTTTTACATCAAATATGCTTTTGTAGTTTGGAAAAGTGATCAAACATGCCAGTGGCGGATCCAGGGGATGGCCACCTCGGGCCCCGGCCCAGCCCTCCTCTGAATCCATAGTTAGTATAGGTCTTATAAATTTTTCGATTTTAGATATTCGGGTCGTTGTTATTTTAAAATAAGATGGGGTATAATTAGAAAAATAATTCAGATGAACATATTCAAAATCATTACTCTAAATTTAGCTTATAAATTCTAACCCCAAAGGTTATTCGTCTAAAAAAACAATGAAACCTAAAAATTCAAAAAGTTTAAAACGTAAGAGACCTAAAACATATATGAGGTTTTTTACCTTGGAAAATTTACTAGAGCAGCTGGTGAATATAGGGATGGAAACACAATGCAAATTGATTAGTAGATTGATTTGTCTGGTGTTGATGCTGCTCGTTTCAACAGCTAATACGAATAGAACCTTTTCAACAACGAAACATGTGAAAATTGATTTGCGCAACAAAATGAGCGATGGATTTCTAGTCGATTGCTCAAGTATTTTATTTGAAACAGTGTATACTATTGGTATGGATGTGGACTCTATTATTAATGCATTCGCTAAATTAAAATACCGTCGTGTACAATTTACATTGTAAAAAAATTATAATCATTATATTTTTTAACTATTCTAATTTTCTAATAAAATGCGGCCCAGTGCACTTCTGTGTTCTGGATCCGCCGCTGAAACATGCCCATTTGTTAAAATTTTCATTGAAAAAAATCGTCAATCATGGTTGAACCGAGATTTAGACATATGTGTACTCCAAACCAAAGTTCGGCCGTGGTTAATTGTTTTTGGATGAAATTTTTACAAAAAAGTATGTTTGATCATTTTTCCAAACTAGATGGGCATGTTTGATGAAAGAAATAGAGGGGAATGTTTGATAAAACGACATAGTAAAGTGGCATATTATATCCATAACCCAATTTAAAAATAGGGGCAAACAAACAATACTCTCTTGATCCAATACCATGGTTAGTAAAATACGACACGGGAAAGTTACATATAACATACGTACGATTATTTTACTTCGTCTCAAACTAATGTTACGTTTAATAGTACGTTTATAATAATAAATATATAAAATTAATTATTTTAAAAATAAATATATAAATAATAGTAAAGTTAACCATTTTTATTCATTAAATATGGATATTAAACGTGTTATACGGTGTTTATACGTGTTTAGTACGAGAGCAATCAAATGAATGAAAAAAATGAAATGACTTAACAATAATATGAATACAGAAATTTTAAACGAAAAAAATACGTACGGATACATATAAGTGTATTAAACATAGTGTTTACTAACTATGTACAATACTAATCTTACGCTCAAATAGTCGATCAATTTTCAAGCTGTTTCCAACAAATCTTGTGAGACTTTAAAGCCCCATATTTCCGATCCTATTATTGGTCTCGTTCTGTGCTGGGCTCCGGCCCGCATAATTTCCCAAGGAGGCATCTGGGCTGAGTTCCAGCCTCGTTAGGATTTGCATATTTATTTATAAGAACGTATAAGTTGTAACTCGTTTAGTTGGGCTCTAGCTCAATAAATTTAATTTCAAACTTCATATGTCCCATGAGGCCAGGACTGCCTATAGGACATGTCGATGCGACTAGGGCTGATAATAGGTTCGATCCGGTTATAATCAGAACCATTTAGTCTATTCTCGGTTAATCGTTTAGTACTTCGTGCTTATCATTAATTGAATTTTTTATATTAGTCGGTTAGTTGTAATTGCATAGTTGGTTCTTGGTTATTTTGTCGGTTAACCGTAATCAACAA